CCGAACAGATAAGTGTCGCTTCGGTTACGGAAGCGGCGCATTCCTGGGACACACCGTCTCGGTTGAAGGGTGTTCCCCTCTTCCCGAGAACGTTGAAGCTATTCAAGACTGTGCTAGACCGACCAGCAAGAAAGAGCTTCAGAGGTTCTTGGGTATGTTGAACTACTACAGGTCATTCATACCCCGCATGGCTGAGATCGCCTCGCCGCTGTATGCGCTCACCGGCGCGAACGCACGCTGGTCATGGTCAGAAGAATGTGAGAAGAGTTTCTGCACTCTAAGGGACATCCTGATCTCCGAAATGGTGCTGGCCTTCCCGCAGTGGGACAAATCGTTTTTTTATAGAGGTTGACGGGTCCGGGTCCGGTGTGGGAGCCATTCTCTCACAGGAAGACAGCTCGGGGAGACTTCGCCCGATCGCTTATTATTCATCTGGCCTCACCGCTACCCAGCGGAATTACTCGGCATCCGAGATCGAATGTTGGGCCCTGATATCCGCTACTAGGAAGTGGGAGGTATATGTGAGCGCAGCACCGGAGGTGATTCTCATAAGCGATCACAATCCGCTCACCTGGTTAAGACAACAGCGAGACCCACGCCGGAAGTTCGCGAGATGGATAGCCGAACTGGAATGTCTCAACTACACTGTGGTGTATCGCAAGGGCAAGGATCACGCTGCGCCTGACTTCCTCAGCAGGATCGACTCGGAGGTGGACAGGGTAGTGAACGATGATGTCGAACATTTTGAAAGACATGTTTATCCTGTTAGAGGTGCTAACACGCTCGACAGCATCAAAGCAGGACAGCAAGAGGACTCTAGCATAGCCTATGCCGCTCATCAGTTACGTACCGAAGGCAAAGTAACTAAGGGTCGATATAAATCTTATGGTGGCATGAGGCTGGAGAACGGCGTCCTAAAACGTAAGGGACAAATCGTGGTGCCAAACAGCATGCGTGGGACAGTTTTTGAAATGGAACACTCCGTGCACCATGCCGGTGTGCACAAAACATATTTGCTTATCCGGGAACACTTTTTCTGGATCGGAATGTTTAAATACATACAAACCATGTGCATGGCATGCGATACCTGTCAGAAGAGCAAACGAACTTACGCACCGAAACAGACGATGCAAGAGTACGAAACAGGCGATGTGTCACCTCGGTCAAGCATAGCCCTCGACATAGCCACCATGCCCAGGGCGCCAGACGGCAGCCGTTACCTTCTGGTCATTGTAGACATGTTTTCCCGCTACGTTGAGCTCGTTCCGCTCAAGGACCAGTCGGCAGAAAGCATATGTAACGCAGTAAGGTCCGAATGGATTCACAGACATGGGCCACCACTCCGCATCATTACTGATCAAGGGAAAAATGTAGATGGTCAGATGATGAGCCAGCTGTGCGAATCCTTTGGCATTGAGAAACGGAGATCGTCACCGTACCACCCAGAGGGGGACGGTCTCGCGGAACGCACTATCCAGACTGTGAAACAGCTATTGAGGTGCAAGCTGCAAAGTCAGCAAATGGTAACAGATCAGTGGCCTGCTTTGCTTAGTGAAGTGCGAAGTATTTATAACTCGCTGCCTAGCAACTCAACAAAATATGAACCCAACGAACTCATGTTCGGCGTGAGCGTTCGGACACCGGTGGGGGGCGGCCGGGCCAGGGACGGCATAGTCGCCGAGCAGAGCTTCAGCCCTGAAACCCACTCTGAGGAAACACAGTTCAGGCTGACGGAACTGCACAGTCAGGCAAAGAAAAACTCTTCAGCGGCACATGCCTCTTCTAAGTTTTACTACGACCAGGGGAAGAAGGATAGCGATGTTAGGGCGGGTGATTACGTGTATCTGCGCAAAGAGGTTAGAAACTCCTCTTTGGACCCTGTGTATGATGGGCCATTCCTGGTTAGCAGCAGACGTGGTGCAAATGTGCTCTTAAATATGCAAAGTGGGGAGCAAGTGGTGCATTTGAACCGCTGTAAAAAGTGTGTAAACCGGGAACAGTTTCCTGACGCGCCGCCTGTACCGACAGCCCCATCCGTAGCCGGCTCCTCTTCCGGCTCGAACGTTGGAACTGAGGACCGCTCCACTCAGGATCCTGGTCCCGTTCGTCGAGATGAAGAAGAGGTGTCACGGGGGGTGTTGCTGCACTGCCCACCCTCCTCTGTGGTCCGTCCGGAGGTCATGAGCGAGCTGGGCGACACGGCTGACTACCAGGTGGCTGCGGGGCGTCGGTACCCTACTCGCGCTCGCAGGCGACCACAATTCCTGCGGCTGTAATCTCCTTGTGGAGTGAGGTGTTCGAAGCTCGATGAAAGTAGCGCAGGGTTGAACGTTCTCAATGCTGTTGCGACGTGTGTTTTGGCGACGGGGTGATGTTGTGAAGTATATCAAATTAAGAGTTCTGTCATGCAGCTGTCACGCGCACGTATATATTTGTAATTGTGTGCTAGAAGACAAGAATACGGGGGATGTGCTTTGGAAGTTAAACACTGTTAACAATGCATTGATTATGCAACATATTATTGTTTATTTCTTATGAATAAACTCTCACTGTCATCTTAAAGCGCGTTAATGATCAGTGTAGAAAGCTTTCTAACACTACAAAACTGCTATCTCGGATTTTTGAAATGTTTGGATTTTGACCCCAAAAAATCAAAAAATAGGTTTTTTGAATATAATAGCCGAAAAATCCAAAACGTTTTTTGAATTTCGCAAAAACCGGAATATATGTGATAGTCCTTACCCCCTTCTATCCACATACCAAATTTGAGATTGATACCTCTTTTTTTTGCTGAAGTTATAGCGAAAAAACTTTAAAATTGATGACGTCAAATTTTCAAACTCAATTTTTAGCGATTCTAGACCCCGTAGCGCAAAACAAAGACCACCATTAGACTCCCCGTGACGAGCTGCATCGAATCAATACCCATTTTATGCAAAACTATCAACTTTAAGATTTGACCTTTTTTGACCTGACCTTGACCTGACCTTCACCTGAAAATGACCTAAGCCGTACCTGATAGTCTTATAACCAACACCATTGGGTTGGAAATGAAAAATTGGCCATAAAACATGCATCGCACAACCTTAGTACCCAAAGTTAGGTTCATGTGACCTGACCTGTGACCCTTGGTGACCTGACCTGTGACCTGACCTGGTATTGTCAGTGACCTCTTATAGCAACATATGTACTAGGCAACTGACGCCCTATTGCTGATTCTTGACAAAATGCGTTTTCTTCGGTGTTATAGCGCATTCCCTAGAAGACCCGTGAACGGTGAAACATTTCATTTTTGATCTGACCTGTGACGTCATCGGTGACCCCGAGGTCAATGAAATTTGGTTTCCTTCAACAAATTTGACAGGCCTTTCGAACGCCGTTTGAATTTTGCGGATCCGTCCAGTAGTTTCGGAGATACGAGGGGGGGGGGGGCAAAAAATAGCCCCCCCCACCAGGTCGCGTTATAAACAGACCCCAAGTTAAGCGGGGGTTAAGGGACAAGGGTCCCTTAAATAAAAAATCGAAAAATGACCCACCAGCATTTTAAGGCGTTCTTTCATTTGGGACCATTTGCAACGCCGTGCAATGCACCGTTTTTCCGGAAAAAGGTACACTGTCATTTTTTAGTTTTTTTTTAATTTTGGGGGTTTCCGTTCTTTTGATGGAATTTTAAGAGTCGTGACTAGCGTGGTCGAGTTGACCTATAACCCAGTTTTTATGGCTAATGCTATAGCTCAACGTTGCAAATTATGTTGTGTTGGATGTTGGCTAACTTCCATTGACCAAAACACGAGGATAAATCGTAATAAACCGTTCGTGGCAAGAACAGCTGATCTTTTCCCGGCTGGGAAAAGATCACTGGATCTTTTCCCGACCGGTACAAGATTAACCGTTTTTGAATATATGGAAGTAAAGAATTGAAGAATTTATAGCAACTAATACCTAATAGTGTGTAAGAAATAAAATTATGCATGGGTCTGCCGGGAAGATGAAAATTATCAGCACTCGTGCCATCGTTTCACTCGGGACAACGGTCATCCAATTCGCCGGTGAAAATTAGCTCCCGATCTAATAACGGATTGCAAAACTCGATAACGGGTACGGTAATTCTATGCCGCCGATGGGATTCGAACCCCGAACCCGTGATCTCAATCTTGTTAGAGAGGTCAAAAGTCATTTTCACGTGCGATCTTCCCGCTTTGCAAATCAAAGTTCTCATATCGATAGAAAACCCTGCATCGATAGTACAGTCCACAGCAGAAGTAATGTGGGGTTTCAGTCATGACCCATGACTCATGGGTATGTTCTGCTTCTGAAGCTTAGGAACGATTAGCCAGATTACAATGAAACTTTGAATGTAGCTTATATGTATCGTCACCCTTGCAGCTGCAGCTTTAGCTATTGACATCTTCTTTTCGATCACTATATATTACTGAACGGCTCTGGGAAAGAAAAATGGAAACCGAGGTCTTTGAAAAATTGTAGGCACGAGGCGTAGCCGAGTGCCGGAGATTTTTTGAAGACCGAGGTTTCCATTTTTCATCCCAGAGCAAGTTCAGTAAGATATTTCCCATACGTCGTTTAATATCTATTCAGAAACTCAGAATTTAATTATTGAAATCACATTTTTTAAGATTTTTATCAAAAAATCACCAGAACTGTAGGTCATCAACCCGTGCCGGAAAACAGTGCAGGAAAGATCACGTGCAAATGTTTCCCGCACGGCTAGGATAATGCTAAAGGGATATCTCGGCGCATGGGAATCCCCGCATTAAACAATCGCCAGTCAAAGTCAACCGTTGAGATTGGTAAAACCCTACATTACTTTAGCGGTGGGCTGTACTTTTAGATCGATCATACCAAATATTTAAGCCACCAATGACGTCATCAACGTGTCCGAGCATTGTGGGTAATCTCACGTAAATGTTATATGCATTCGTTCCCTAATAATGCATGAACCTTGTTTGTTTACAACAGAAAGCGACAGAAAGCAACGCGGCTCCACACACACTGACACTGTTGCCGATTGAGTTTCCTGAAAATTGGCACAGTAGTAGTACCTATGTAAATGTGCCAAGGATTTTTTCCCAACAGGTTCTTCATTCTATTCAGTTTTCCGTTTCTCGATGGTGAGGGTGTGAAGGGACATCTATATTCCAATTTCCAAGAAATGGTCATCCAATGCTGATGCCAGTTGGGCAAACTAGATCTTTGGAATCAAAATATGGAGGCATCAAAAGATTGATTCCTTTTGGGCATAAATGCAGACCATTTCTAACTTACCAATCACATAAAAATAAGAGAGTGTTTCAAGAAGGAGCATGCCTGATCTTGAACAGAAATGCTGGAACTATCTCCTAAGCAAAATAATATTGCTCCTATCATAACAATTTGAATTCTATAGTTAGTGAAAGGCAATCAAGGAATTGATTCACTTTAAACAGATAATCATAATATTGATTCCCCATCAGCTGGCTAATCATTATTTTGATTCACAGGTAATGTTAACAGATAGGCAACAATAACTTGCAGGAATACAGCATTTATCTTGTTATTATTCTCATTTAGTGGTATCCTCAGCACCACAACAGATACCTATAGCATTGTTGTACTTAACCTTCACTACATTTGATAACAATTCACAATTTTAACATGTCAAGAATACAAAAACTGAAGCAACAGGTAAAAACCATATAATGAATATAAAAGCACTACAACAATGATAATTAGGGGTTTGAAAATTTCATTTTGCCATTTTACACAAATACTGATTGTTTAGTATGCAATTCATGATACAGAAATAACATACAGTGTGATTTCCTCAAAACAGCTTTTACGTCATGGACAGTGGCTCTGTCTTTTTCCCATTCACAAGGCCAAAGGGACAATTTCTTAGTTTTGAGGTAACACTTTTTGCAAACCTACCACATTTTTCTACCTTTTTAAAGAAAAATCTCACCGTCATGGGCCTTTTTTCAACCGTAACGATACATTTGAAGTCAAAAGTGTACCCAAATGAATCAAAAAATTGATTCCATGCCCATATTTGGTCATGGCTCCTCCCACCAGAATCAAATTATTGATGCCTCCATATTTTGATTCCAAAAGTCTAGTTTGCCCAACTGATGCCCACTGGACACCCCACAATCCAATGGGGTGTTAAAGGGCACACAATCTATTTGTTGAAATGTTTTGCATATTCTGTCACAAAATATGTGAAGTTCATTCACCATTAATGGCCTTTTTAGGGACGATGGTGAAAACAGGGCGCCTGGGGCGATTTGATCAAGGTTCGTAATATTCACACGTGACGTTTAGCATCTAGAAGGCCCGTGGAGGGGAGAAGTCCCATATGTCACGTGACTAAAATTCCCTCCGGCGCCCTGTTTTCACCGGCGTCCCTTTTTAGCCAGTTACATGTAATACAGTCTACGCTTCTCAGTTCTCAGGGAAACTATGAGGCGAACGTCAAAAAATGGATTGGTCAATAAATGGACTTTTGATGACCATATATGGGCATAAATGCAGCCCCCGCTACTAAGGGTGGAAAACGGTATAACAAGCCGGTACTTGCGGTATCGTGTCCACTTATTGGAGAGAAAAGGGCCAAAAGGCTTCCATTTTTCACTAGGAATTGGTGTGATTTGAGTAAATTCGGCGAATTGACTCGAAAATGGCGATACGAAAACGGCTATTCTGCAGGTTCTGGGCGTCGCAATCAGCTGGCCATTCAATAAATGGATTGGTTTTATGAAAGAAAATTGTTAAAAGATTTAATTTAATTACAATAAACAAAAATATTTAATTCTAAAATAATAACTTAACTACAATTAGAAAAACCATAAACAAAATAATAAAAATAATGACATTTTTAAACCACCGTACTGCTTACATTTTTTTGGCGCGTCTGTTTCAATCCGCCATATTTGCCAAACACGGTTTGACCTTGCGTTGTAACTCTGCGATTTAGAGCCGCCAGTTAATTATGCACCGGTTGAGTGTAGGCCTTGTGTGGTTAAAAAACATTCTTATGCCTTATTTTTTCATTTGAATGCTAAAATTCATTGAAAAGATGAAGTTGTCTGATTTTATGACCATATATGGTCATCGCCCCGCCCACTCCAGCCGCTGATTGGCTAATCCATTTTTTGTTTGGCTCCTCGTAGTTTCCCCAACTGTTCTGGAAAATGTGCTCACCTTGTCAACTCACCTTGTCGGGTTCCATCCACTACCACCAGTCGGCAAGGAAAAGGCTCGATGGATGGAAGGACAGGAGGAACCCTGCTTCATATGGCGTGCCAGTTGACAACCTCAGGATACATCGTCGTAACATACACGCACATAACTGGAGTGTTGCGCCACCATTTAGACTAACATTGACTACATCGTGTTTTTACAATAGAATAGCAAATAGTAAAAAAGTGTTCATCAATGATCATACAACTTACATATACTTGACAAGTCTATCCGGAATAGCTCCTACTAATCCATGTTTAAATGACTGAAGGTCTGGGGCATTAACCCGCGCCCCACTGGGGGGGGGGCTATTTATAGCCCCCCCCCCTCCCGTTTTTCTGCAATAACTTCCAAACCGCTTGACGTATCGACGCCAAACTTTCAGTACCTTTGGCTGCATCAATTTGACACCTTGTGTCAAAATTTGAACTTCGTAGCTACCATAGGTCGGCCGGAAATGACGTCAGAGTGACGTCATGTTCGGCCGATTTCGACGCAAAACATCGAACCACTGCAATCGCTCCCAAGGGCTCAGTTTTTAAGCTAGATCCAATTTCTTTGCATGAGAGGACTCAGAATAGACTGCGCTATCAAACTGCTATCTCGGATTTTCGAAATTTTGAAAATTTCGAAAATTTCATATAATAAAATTCAAAATCTACAGTTTTACATTTTTTTCAAAAAGTTTTTGACTTTTCGAAAAAACTGGAATATATGTGATAGAACGCGTTATTATGACTAACTCTAGCAAGTTTCAGCTAAATATCTTCAAAAATGGCCAAGTTATACGCATTATTGCAAAAAATTCACAATTATTAATTTTTCAAATCAATTTTTCACCACGTATTTGACATCGTACGCCAATATAAATAGCACCATCGTGTTCCTGAGCTCAAACTGCATCCAATAGACACTTTTTCTGTTGAAAAATTATAACTTCAAAATTTGACCTTTTTTGACCTGAAAGTGACCTGACCTAAGCTAAATTCGACTCAAAATGACCTCCAATGACACAGACGACATCAAATTCGAAATCTTTGGCCTAAATGGACCATAAAACATGTGTCACGTGACCGACGCATGATACAATATTTTCGTGACCTGTGATGACCTGACCTTGACCTGAAAATCAAAGTACAAGTTTGGTACCCTCAGGGTATCTAGAGCATCTGTTCACGAGTGTGTGAACCAAAAATGAGCCTGATCTGACTTGTAGGACGGCGGCCAGAGCCCAAAACGTGAACAAGCCAAAATGCTAATAATTTTTACTTTGACCTGACCTGTGACGTCATCGGTGACCTTGAGGTCAATGAAATTAGGTTTCGTTCGACAGTTTTTCCGGGGCTATCAGACGCCGTTTGAATTTTGACGATCGGCCCAGTAGTTTCGGAGTTAGGAGGGGGGGCTATGAATAGCCCCCCCCAGTAGGGCGTGTTATACGCAGACCCCAGTGGGGCGCGGGTTAACAACATCTGGTGGTAGGCTGTTCCAGAGATGCACACATCTGTTTGAAAACGAGCGCTGTCTTATGTCTGTGTTGGAGTGAGCGACAGTGATCTATCATGGCGTGCTAATTATGGTATTTCATTTGTCTTGAATTGTCAAGATAAGGACCATTGAGGCACTAATAGAGGTCAATGATAAGGTCCAATCTACAATTGTGGCGCTGTTGATATGAATATGAAACAGCGGAAGTTTTAGGTTGTAGGTTAGGTTAGGTTGTAGGTTGTAGGCTTTAGGTTGTAGGTTTGTAGGCTTTAGGTTGTAGGTTTGTATGTTTTAGGTTGTAGGTTGGTAGGTTTGTAGGTTGTAGGTTGTTAGGTTGTAGGTTTGTAGGTTGTAGCTTGTTAGGTTGTAGGTAAGTAGGTAGGTTAGGTCAGGTTTGATAATGTTTTTTCCTTTTATTTGCGAGACATGTAAGTATCATTTTTGGATTCAGGATGTCATAATGTAAGAATATGAAAAAAATTATCCTTCAAATCTTTTGAGGACTTTATCTTGACATTTACCTTAATTATGTTTGCCCAGTACCCTAAGGTAAACAGAACCGAAAAGTAACCTGTCAACCATGAAACCCACTTTAAAGGAAATAATTCACTTTTAACATGGGGTTTTGAACTGAAATAGCAGTCTTGTAGCTTGCGCTGAGACTAGCACAAGTCATAAGCTTTTACGGCCCAACGATCACCCTAAGAAAAAAATGTTCAATTTCCCCTTCCAAAAAGAGTGTTTTACGCAGGAATGTGGTGTCTTAGAAAGGAATGCAGTCACATCATCGTCAGCCAATCAGCATGCTGCTTACAGCCAATGCAGCATGCGTAGGTTTGAACTACCTACGCAATGTGATTGGTCAACGCTAGAGATTGCAATCTCGGGATCGGGATCCCGGGATCCCGGCGGGATTTTAATTCCGATCCCGATCCCGAAATTCCGCCAATCCCGGGATCCCCAAAAATCAGTTTTTCACCATAAAAAGAATGCAGCCGCTGCACGTGTCTTGTTTACACTGTTCATGGTGCTGCGTGAGATAAAGCAGAGAAACTATTTAGCTCAGTGGTCGATAAAACTTCCAACGTGCCAACGCTCGTTGGAGCAAGATATTAGCAATACTTGGAAGAGCTGGAGACAGTCCGCCCGTCTACATGGATGCTTCCTTATGCCTAAAATACAGCATTGACTTATGACTTTCTAATCGTCCGGTGCTGTTATCGGCTGCTCGGTACCGCGTGTATGTTCCCTCATTCACTCCTGGTCAGTGGTCACCCTTCGGTCACCCCTCGCTGGGTCGGGCCAGTCGGCTATTTTTATCCTCTTTCCCGCTAGGCCACCCGCTGAGCTCCCGCCGTGCCGCGCCGTCTGCGAGGGACCTGACCCTTCTGCCGGCAGAGGTTTC